GCACTATTAGTAATGGATGAAGAAATGCAGACTCAGAATAACTAAGGCAGTTGTCTCTGCACAGTTTGAACAAGGCAGAGGCACACTGAGAAGCCAGCTCAGTGCTGCTCCCCAATCCTTTCCACTCACAAAGATGCTAAGTGATGCCCCCGGGTGGAGCATAATGCCAAGGGTCCTCATCATTTCCAGGACTTCCCTCATCTAACCCAGCCAAGCCTGCACTCCCTATACATCCCAAGATGCCAGCCAGATAGTGGTGCCATCATGATTCCATCAAGTGACAATTATCAGTACCATCACAATTTTCCCAAGTACTAATACCAACATGTTTATGCTCCACAACCTCAAAGAGGACTGAAGTGAGACATGTAAGAAATATTGAGGAACCCATATATTCCTATTTGAGTTTGTCACCCTAGGACACACTGTGTCTCCACCTCTGCAGTAACAGTTTGTACCTCATGATGGAAATTAAGAAACAGGATAGACCAATATTAATTTTAAATGTGAGGCAAATTTTGCTAATAAATGCTAATTATTTTGACTTATTAAAATAATCTCTCTGGTTTGTGGTGTCCTCCATAGGCTCATATACTTGAACGCCAGTTGTTGGTGTTTGGGACTTTAGAAGAGGCAGCCTTGCCCGAAGAAGTACATCACTGGGGTGGGCTTTGAGGAGCCTGGTCCTGATTCCTGCTTGCTCCTTCTCTGCTTCCGGGTGTCATTCAACCCTGATATAATAGAGATCTAGCCCTCTGGGACAAGCCCAAATAAACTCTTTCTTCTCAGAGTTGGTTTTGATCATGATATTTTATCACACCCAGAAAAAACTAACCAATATACGGTCTTACCAAAATGTCTCCAGAGGCCATTAGACTCCCAGTAGGTAGCATGCTGATAAATGCCAAAACCTTTAACAAAATGGCATGTGACTTTGTGCTGGTTTGCTTTTAGTTTTGGTGTGTGTGTGTGTTTGTGTGTGTGTGTTGGTTTAGAATGTTGAATGTTATTTGTTCCATTTGCCTTTCATTTATCAAAAGTAACTCAGTCCTTAATAACTTTAACAATCCATGTGTTATATATGGACTTTGACAAAATGCAGAGTATTGTATTCCTGGTTCCCAGTACCACATGATCTATCAAGAAGACCTACCATCCACACCTCTGATTTTTCATTATTTGTTTAGATATTTTATTTGGTCATATAGAGTTATATATACTTTCATGCAAGTATAAATGTACTTTATTCTCTTTTATAACCCACGATACTCCCCTTATGGTATTTTTAATTAATTTTTGTTATTATTTTATGTGTCTAAGTGTTTGCCTACGTGTATGGCTGTGCATTATGTGCATGCCTGGTGCCCTGGGAGGTCAGAAGAAGGTGTGGAATCCCCCAAAACTGAAGTTACAGATAATTGTGAGCTACAATGTGGATTTGAGAATCAAATCTGGGTCCTCCAGAAGAACAGCAAGTGCTTTATAGAGGAAGCTATTGTCACAGGGAAATACTGTTCTCATTTAAAAAAAAACCTAATGAGCCAGGTATGCTGGTATACATACACCTCTAATCCCAGCACAAAGGAGGCAGAGGCATATCTGCATTGGAGGCAATCTGGTCTACAAAGGGAGTTGACGGACAGCTAGGTCTACACAAAGAAACCTGTCTCAGAAAAACAAACAAACAAGAAACCTGAAAAGTATTTTTAAAATTATGAACCTGTTCCATCTTGTAAATAAAATTAAGAATAAAACTAAATCAAATTATCACTTGATTACTGGGACCAAACCGTTAAAGATAATTCTTGACTTAGGAGTGAGGTTGGAGGTAGTTTTGGAAAGCTACACATTATTTAATGACTTTCACATAAAATATTTCTATTTCTAAGTTAGATGTATATACCTCTGATGCAGATGCAGCTCAGGAAATACTTTTAGAGACTGTATGTACTTTTTATTTATCATATGGCATATTTCTTCAAAGCTACTTGAAAATAAAAGTATACTATGACTCTTCTAAGAGAGCTTATTAAAAAGTCTTATGATAAATATTCTATACAATAAAGATTATACAGTTACTCATAAGATTATCCACTATTTTGTGAAGCTCAGGATCACCAACAGGTAAATTTACAAAACTAACTTAATTACAACAATTATTAGGTTTAATATTTAATGTAAAGAAAACATTTGTCATACAATTTTATGTGGAAGGATTCCTTCCCAAGGCTATAAAATTTCTATGCATGCCTAAAGTATTTTAGCAATGTGCCTATTCCACAAAAATTACAAATGAATGGTGTGAAAAATCAGTTCCCAATTTACTTAACTTAAAGTTCTCATTCTACAAAATCTGCTGTTGCTGCTATATTTCAGTCCGTTAGCATTTAGGCAGCAACAGGATTGCATTGGTCCTGAGGAAGCAGGACCGTTTCTGACCATGTGTTAGGCGGTGACCAACACAACCCAGTGGCCTAAAAAACAAACCCAGAACTAAGCAGGAAGTTACAATTCTTTAGATAAGGCAACTCAAGTCCCCATAGCTTCTCCAACTACATTCTCACTGGAAAAATTGTGACAGCCACAAAACAGCAAATAGAACTGTGAAAGAGACCATATCTATCTCCTGTCCTCAGGTCACATGTCCTAACCATGACCTCTCTGCAATCTTTGCTTTAATGAAAAGTAGCAAGTATTGCAACCTTAAAGAGAAGCAGAACCCTTTAGGATCACAATGTCAACTTCCTACTTGCTGGAGAATGTCCCACTCTTAGAAAGGTATGAGACTCTTTGATGCTGGTTAAGCTTTTAATTTTTGTTTTGTTTGTTTTTGTTTTTCATGCAATGTCATGGAATTAGAGATAATTCAGAATTTTCCAAAAATCCTCATTTGTAATTGAGCTGCATTCATCATTTTATCATTATTGTGATGAGATATCTTGGAGACGGGCTACTTAAGGAAGGAAGGATTTCTTTTGGCCCTCTGTTTCGTTACTACAGCCCATCAGGTGAAGAAGGATGCTGCAGTAATGTGAGGCATCTGGTCACACTGCATCCCAGGCAGAAGTAGGGAGTGATGGATGCTGGTGCTCAGCTCGCTTTCTCCTTTTTACTCCATCTAAAACCACAACAAATAGGACAGTACTCCCAAATTCAGGGTATGCTTCCCACCTCAATTTCCCGAATCTTGAAGGTCCTTCACAGACATGCCCAGACGTCTGTCTTCTAGACGATCCTGCACCTGACAGGATGACAATACCACACACTTTTGCTCTATCCTCTTGGGTTCTACCTGTTGGGTTAGTCGATGCCGCTGTTAAGTGTGCCCTAAATGTCCACTCTACAGTGGGAAGCATCCTCCAGCGCTATCCTGAAACTAACAGCACACCACTGTTGCTCCACAGTGACAACAAGTCAGAAATCATTTTCTGCCTAGAACAGAGTTTACTTCATTAGCCACATTGCATCCCAAGTTCAATCCAATTTCTCAAGCTGCAATAACACAATCATCCAACCTAATTATCTTCATTGCAGGTATTTAAAAGCACTTTTTAAGAGACATCTCTTTCTGTGTCAGGCAGGATCAACATCAAGTGAATAGAGTCTCCATTCTGTCTTCTTGTAAAGGCTTAACACTTTAGGAAATGGTTGTTTCTTGCAAGGGAGAAAGTATCTCTCACCCTTGTGGGCACTAAAAAAATGCTTCCTAGACAATAAAAGCATCCATGAGTAGCTACTCACACTAGTGCTTTGAAAGCCAGATTCTCACAATACCTTAATCACACTTGCATGCAGGGGCACGGATAATGATTCACCGGACTAGGATCAAATATTAAATATAATTTATTTCAGGGAGAAGTCATTTCACACAAGAGGCAGGTGACCCCCGCAGATTCCAGCTCCAAGGATCCACCCAGGCTGTTCTCTGTGACCCGAATAGAAACAAGACAGAATGCTGGGATCTGGGATCCCAGATCTAATCCTACCCTCAATCACATCTGCACCTGTGACCACACCGAAATGGGCGTGGTCAATGCTACAGATATGGGCGGATGGATATCTCACTACACCTGCACATTCAACATTCTGCAGAATTGAGACTATTACAGTCTGTATGACTTCTACAACACCTTGAATCAACTGAGAGAAGTTTAGGGCAAAGAAGGAATTTTTAAAAGCAGGACAATGGGAGATAATTTGTACTTGAAATTCCATCCCATACCGTCACAACTTAGGATAATGATGTCTGCTTCTTGGAAATAATCCAGAGGACACATTGGCTTGTGTTTGAAGGATTCCTAACAGCTCATTTACGGAAAGCCCCCAAATTCTATTCCTAAGACAGTTCATCATTTTTCTTTTCAATTATCAAAAGAGAAATCAGCTTGTATCTTCTTTTTAAAAATAGATAATTTATTAGGGGAAAAGACTCCTTTTAAACATTTTTGGATAGATTTGTAATAAAAGAGCAGGAAGTCCAATCCAAATTCAAGCTAGCCATTTCACTACTTCCTAACTTGTGGAGCTCATTGTGGTCCCTAGGTCTCTGCTTGTGAGCTAGTGAGCTTTCTCTTAACACTGTGAGGGAACTCATTTGACCTGTGCCCTGGGCAAGTAACAAACCCACTTCTGCAGCTGCGGTAGTCTAATATCTTGGGTTTCAACAGTGAACGGTGTCCTTTGCTCCAAAAGCAGCTTGGCAGTGCTCAAAATGAAGGAATCTAACCACTTAGGAGTTTCAGTAAGCACCATCTGATGCTTGCTTCTGATATAAACACTGTGCTATACACCGCGTGGGAACACTCAAGCCACAGAACCCCCATGTAGTCAGTACAACCATAGCTACATCCAAAAGGATGGAGAGGAGTCAATGAACTGGTGTATAGTTTCACGTGATGCCTGTTGTGATGAGGCATTTAGAAACAAGTATGGACAGCATTGCTATCTGGCACTAGAAACCAATGCCACACGCAAGCCATACTCAAGCTTAACATTCTTACCTTATACACTTGACCATATGTCCCATTTCCGACAAGTTCCACCAACTCAAAGATTCCCGCAGGGTCCTGAAGAAAAACCAACAATCAAAATTTAAAAACCATCCCAGGCCCTGTCATCATCAAAAGCACATATTTACTCAAAATAAGCAATTAAATCACTTGAATTGGATGGGAGGGCATATTCTAGATGTAACTACTGAATAGTATCATTTTTTTAATTTAATTAAATCACAGCTATGAAATTAGTCAAATTCACTTTGTTTTTATTTCACACTTTTGTGATGAATTTAAATCAGACAAAAGGAAATTGTTTTCCATTAAAACAATAAAAAGGGTGTCTATGGACATGACTCAGTCCGTAGTGCCCTTGTCATGCTGTCGTGGAATAATATTTTTATACACTGTGAAAAAGTATCACTCTGATTGGTTTAATATGAAGCCGACTGGCCAATAGCTAAGCAGGATTTCCAGGCACAGAGCATACTGGGAAGAAGGGGGAGACAGGAGGAGACAAGGAGAAAGCAGGAAACCAGGATGCAGTCTGTAGATAGGTAAATGAACCTTGGGGCAGCACATTGACTAACAGATATGGATTATTTTAACTTTAAGGGGGAGTTAGAAACAAGCCTAAGCTATCAGACAAGCTTTCATAATTAATAATAGGTTTCCGTGTGGTTATTTGGGAGCTGGATGGGGAGTCAGAGAAAGACTCACTACACTATGCATGCAAGAGGACCTGAGTTCCATCATCAGGACCCACTTGAAAGAGCTGGGCGTGGCAGAACATGTCTCAAATCCCAGTACTGAGAGATGGGAGACAGGAGTGTTCTGGGGACTTGCTGCCCAGCCAGTCTAGCAAATCAGTGAGCTCCAGATTCAGTGAGAAAAAGGAAACCCTGGCTCAAAACATAAAATGGAGAGGAACTGGGGGAGATACCTGGCATCAACCTCTGGCCTCCACGTGTGCACATGTGTCCATGCATGCCGCACCTATACCCACATGTGTGTGTATACCCACATACATACAATAAACAAGAATTAACATTTTTCTCACTGGGGAATCAAGGTACTCTTGCAGCAATGATGAGGTAACGTGAAAGGCATGGATCACCTAGAGGAAGTTCTGTTTTTCTTTTTTTCAGACTATTTCTCTTTAAATGTCTGAGCTACTTATTAGGTATCAAGGTATGCTGGCTAGTTTATTGTTTTGTAGGTACATAAACAAAAATGATCTGGAAAGAAGAAACCTCAGTTGAGAAAATGACTCCATCAGATCGGCCTACAGACAAGTCTGCAGGGTATTTTCTTGACTCATAATTGACATAGGAGGGTCCAGGCTGAGCGAGCCATAGAGTGCAAGCCAGTAAGCAACATTTCTCCATTGTTCCTGTTCTTTTTCCCATGTCTCTGCTCTTGGATGAGTTCCTGCCTTGATTTCCTTCAATGGTAGACAGTGATCAGGACATGTAAGCCAAATAAATCCTTTCCTCCCCAAGTTGCTTGGGGTCATAGTGTTTGTCATAGCAACCCGATACAGCATGTCCCTCAAGTGTGAGCAACCTTCCTTACGGGATTCAACAGTCTCCAAGAAAAAATGGGAATCTAGAAAGCTACCCGCTTTCACCTCTCATCTCTGTAATGCTGCCCCTGCAAAACATGCTTTTACAGTATTCACAAAGTAAATATGGGATTTGGAGTTCAACATAAGAGAAAGGTTATGGAAGTTTATGACAGCAAACAGGTTTCTACCAACCTTCAAAGTGTCAGCCAATGCTGTTACTGATGAGCTACAATCCCAAGAAGTAGAAACAAAAATGATTAATAAAAATCCACAAAAGTTTGTAAAATCCAAGTCTGAGGCAGAAGTTAGCTTTTACCCCCATAACTTCTAACCCAAAGAAATTGCTTCTTAGAAGAAATAAACTGAGATCAGAAAAATGTCTCAGGTGATAAAGACCAGAAAGCCTGTGGATGTGAGGACCCCCAGGAACCACTTGGTAGAAGAAAAAAGAGCCAACCTCCAGCAAGCTATCCTCTGAACACACACACACACACACACACACACACACACACACACACAGGCACGCATGCACGCACACTAAAAACATGAACATAATTATTAAAATGTAAATTTTTAAATAAATGAACAGTCCCTTGTATAACCATTCACAGAGGCCAGACAAGTAAAGCAGCCAGACTGAAGAAATCATTCCTCGGCTAGGCAGGGACATGCAGGGAAGGGAGAAAGAGATACTTAGCACAACTAATTACTGCTCTGTCAGCATAAGAGCACAAAACAGCCAAGTCTAATGATTTCTCAGGAAGACACAGACTTTTTCTTTAAGGTGTGATCTGATTTTTAAGTGTTAGTCACTTAATTTAACTAAAAGAGATTGAAAACAAAAACCACCTGAAGGTGAAGCCTACCTCCAGTGGCCACACAAAAGAGCACCTGGTGCATCCTATGGCAGGTGGGTGGCAGGGAGGAGGGGACCAGCCCGAGCCTTAGATTCAGACACACCCAGACCAAATGCAGCTTTAACTTGACCGCAGGAGGGCTTGGAGGCACAGGCTAGTGCCTGAGCCTGTAAAGTGTAGGTGACTTTTACCTGCTGTGATCCCATAGGAAATCGACAACCTACTAATACCTAGCAGTAATCACTTTGGGGTTTTGACAAGATCTCATAGCAAAGGCGGGCCTCTAACTCACTGGGTACCCCTGTAAAGAATGACCTCTAACCCTGATCCTGCAAGTGCTGAGATCACAGGTCTATATCACCATGCCTAGTTTATGCGATGCTGGGTTAGAGCCCAGGACTCTGGCTGTGCTAAGCAAGAGTAGAAACTGAGAGCAACAGCTCCAAGGTGTGGCTGAGGGGAAAGATGTTATTGTAGGTATGAGGGAGAGTACAGTCAGGGGCATCAGGAGGAGTCCAGAGCAGGGAGAAAAAGTAGTGGACTAAATACAGCCAGCAGAATGGACTCGGTCATGGGGGCGGAGTGCAAGGAGTGGCAAGAGAGAGAGCACCAAGAGAAGAAGACAAAAAAAATCCAAGAGGGCGCACGGCCAAAACGGCAGAGTTATATAGGAATGAGAAGCTGGGCAAAGGGAGGCCCATAAACTAGGACGTTCAGGGTCGGGCAGGGTGAGAAGAGAATCATGGGTAGATGTAATACTGAGAAAGCCCTGAGGCCAGCACGCGATTTGGTAGCTATGCTAATAGGCACCGCAGATAGCCACTTTTGGACCTGACAAAGTATTTTGTGAACTGAGGAGCCATGTCCCTAATCTACATAACCACTTTTATCCTGCATGTGACACCTCAGAGTTATGAAGTGGAAGGAGGGTTACCTCGGAGCCACCACTCTGATATTCCTGAGGAAGGCGGCAAATAAGTTAGAGGTCTTGAAAATTAGTCTACGTTAGACTCCACCTGGCAAGCTAGGGAGATGGTGTGTGGAAGTTAAAGGGTTCTCCACGCAGTTGTGAAGACTACAGTTGGATCTCTAGCACCCATGAAAAATGCCAGGGTGGTACTGTAACCATTCTATAATCCTAACACCAGGGGGGCAGAGTGGAAATCCCTGGAGAAAGCTGGCTAGCTATGATAGCTGAAGGGGTGAGCTCTGCTTTCACACAAAGCAGCAAGTGACTGCCCTATGAGCCAAGCAACTGCCATGTTGGGGCAGTTAAACCATGGAACTGCAAAGGATAATCCCAGCTAGGCTGGCCAACAGTTTACAACCCACACCCTGAATGAATGCTCAAATTAGGGCACAAGATTCTAGTTTGAAATCCCTGATCCATAGCCCCTGCCAGGATGCAGGAGGCCTGGGGCAGGGGCATGGGGGGGGTGGGGGGAGCTAGAACATATAGAGGTTGGGAAATATAGAACACTGACTCCATGTGTGTGACCTGTGGGAAGGCCTGCATCCCTGGTAGGTAAGGTTCTCCAGGTGCAGCCTGTTTGCAAAGGAGTGACCACACCCCTGTAATTAACCCCTCACCTCGGCTCAGTAAGGAAGCACAATAAATTCATTGGTTTCCCAGTGAACTTTGCACAGAATCATTGCTTGGTTCATCTCTGGTGTCTTGGGAGGAAGGGTAGACTTTTTTTTTTTTTTACATAGACCCCAGGGAAGGAATTTTAACAAGAGTAATTGTTAAACAGCCAATGTCAACCTCTGACTTCCGCATACATATATGTCATATGTACCCACACACATGCAAACATACATGCACTCCATATACATATACAACAAAATCAGAAATGGGACTCTTCTGGTCACTGAGAAAGTCTGGAATAAGCATTAACTACTTACTCTACTACTCTTACAGAATCAATAATGGTAAACAAGCAAACAACAGAAAATGCCAGAAATTCCAGTCATGCCCAGCTGGTCCATAGAAGTACGGAACCAAGGTGGGGAAACTGTTAGGGACACCAGTGCTGAGCCACCACCCATAATTAAGGAACTGTCGAGGCCACTTGGGAGCCCTTAAGAGGAAATTTTGGTTTGCTAACTCCTAAGCCGTTTAGAACAGCAGGTTTCATTGCAAACAAGATTAGAAAGAAAAGAAGGAAGGGAGGGGAGACCGGCCATAAATGGTAGCAGCTGTTGTTTGTTTCTAAGCTGTGTTTCCCAGTAGTTTGTTTGTTCAGTGATGTTTCTGCAACATGTTTGGAAAGGAGGTCTTCATGTGCTTGAAATATCTCAACTAGAAAAAGAAGAAACCAAAGGGAGGGAGGGAGAGAGAGAAAGAGAGAGAGAGAGACAGAGAGAGAAAGAGAGAGATAGAGAGAGATAGAGAGAGAGAGAGAGAGAGAGAGAGAGAGAGAGAGAGAGAGAGAGAGAGAGAGACTGAGACTGAGACTGAGACTGAGACTGAGACTGAGACTGAGACTGAGACTGAGACTGAGACTGAGACTAGGAGGAGTACAGGCATGGTAACTGGCTATTACAATGCCAGCACTCAGAAGACTGAGTGATATGTGCGTACTGATTTCAGAGGTCCCGCTCTCAACCTGACTCACCCACTGATGGACATGTGACCCAGCCAATCA